CGGTCTTGGCGCTACGGCGTGCCGTGATCAGGTGGAGGAAGGCCAAACTGTTCTGGTTATGAACGAGCCAGACCTTTCGGAGGACATGGACGGTTGGGCCGAATGGTACAAGCACATCACGGAGGCGGTGGAAAGACTTAAAATGGAGCTGGACGAGCGATTCTAGGGCGGTTTCAGGGACTAGAGAGGCCAAAGGCGACCGGCTGGTGTCACATGGCTGTGGCGGTAGAATCTTTAGGGAACAGTTGAGGCACCGACATCCTGGTGTGCATACGCGACCCGTGGTGGTGTGAAAGGCGGTGTTTTCCCTGTTGTACCAGCTAGATGTTGTCCTGAGGGTAGTGAACAAGGGATTTGGATCGAACTTCATGGAGTTCATGGCATCCACCAAAGAGAGTGCGTTGTGTGATTCTTGGCTCATGCGAAGCAGACCTTGAGTATGTGACTCAGCGATCGACAAGGACACGTGTACAGCACAGACGGAGATACTTTTCTGTTATGTATGAAGCGTTACTGGGACATCGTCGCACACGCGGCTTCTTGGGGGTGCACTGTCTATAGCGGAGGACCCCCTCTCTTCTTGTGATGCCGAGCCAAGCCGATGACGTTAAGTTTGGTTTGGCACGCAACTATTCCATGCTGGAGTACGAAATGGGTACCAGCGTTTACGACATCCCAGACCAACCCAACATCAACCTGTTACTTCGTAAACAACACCTCGATATGTATGATGCATTTGGCACCACCGTGCACACCTGGAAAGCACTCCATCCGCGCCGTCAACTCTCAGCGCAAGTCTGTGACTCCTAGCTCACACTCTTCTCCGCAGACAATACCCGAATGGGTTCTACAACAAGCACTTCCAGCCGCGTGCCGCGCCCAATGCACTACGCGCAAACATCATTATGAACGGCTAAATACATAACGCGTGTCGCAAATATTAACCGAGAGAGAACACCGCCAAGTGCGGCAAATGTCCGTGTACCTGAACGTGTAAGGGTATTCATTCCTCATGCATATTCCGTCGGGTTCTATCCTTGTTTCGAAGACCAGCCCAAGATAATGTTCCCTGATACCAACACCAGCCCAGCATGACCCCGAGCACGCCACAGACCACAACGCCTGCCGCCGCCGCGTCAAAGGAGAGCCAGCGATCCCCAAGGAAAAGCGGCCGTCCGACCCTCAGGGGCGCTATGATGATGGAGAGGCAAAGAGAGAGTAAGAAACAAGTACAAGGTCGCGCGCCCTGAAGGCATGGATGGCAAGGTTCAACCAACCGCACGGCATTCATCTAAGGTTGCAGAGGCACAGTCATTTGCTAGCCAAAATCACTGCCAAAATATGCAGTCAAATGTCGACTCACCACACTGATATTCGCTTGCAGTGGATTGTTCAAGCCCGCGTGCTTGTTGGGGTAAATGTACTAACTTGGCCGTGGAGGTGCTTAGCACCTAGCTAGGTGCTTGTACCAATGCTGCAGTAGGATTTGACCATCCTCTCCGGGGATGTGTGGTACATGTCCGACCTTACTTCCTCCAAGATTTCTTTCTACATAGTACCTTTAATGAATTCCAGCTGCTATTCAACGACAGACTCCTAATCCACGAGATACGGTGTATTCCGGAACATTTGCCATACCGCCGTACCGTCTGACAACGATGACATCACAGGACTGCCTCCCCACACCACGACAGAACAGTGTAACAGTACCTGGCGGCGCATTTGAGGGTAGCTGCTCGACGTACAGGCGATCCCGAGCGATTTGCAGCGCGCGCACCTCTGCCTGGACTTCGTGTGTGTACTCGGCAAGAGACTCGAAGATACCGTTCTGTTCTCTACCCAGTGCTTCGTACGCGCGCCGTAGCTTCTCCGCGTGCCGCTCGCGCCTGAGGTGTTCAAATCAAACTCGACACATCGGATTGATCCTTACGGGATTGTACTATACTCGTCATAGGAAACCTTGTTCCAAGTAACTCGAGGTCAATACTGATCGCCGGGGCCTCCGGGGTCTGCTTGGGTGTGAGGTGGGTATGGTGGATATAGCGAGCGAGCGTCTTCTTGACTGTGGCCCATGTCTGTTGCTTGACCACATATATATAGGAACTTCAGTCACTCCTCTTCTGTTGAAGACGCTTTTGGACGAGAGCCCGTGAACGTGGTGACAAAGTCGATACCGAAACAAACCGTGCTGTTTTCTAAACTTTGCAAGAAGGTGGGCCTACAGAACAGAATTAGCGTCAGTACGCTCACGGCCTTGTCTAACCTTCGGATGAATCGTCGGCAAACCTATTGCCATACTTCAGGCGATTATCACGCACCGAACGTCCTCCGCACGTTGTTCGTCGTTCATCACTCGCTTTATCACCCCACAGGCCAAGTAGAGACGCGGATTCCGCGTCGATTTGTCCCGCTCTTCGATTGCCTGTCGTTAAAAGGGCATTTGAGCAATATGCAGTCGTTCCATTTAGCAGAACTTGGTCAGAACCCTCCCCACAGCCTAGCCTCGTACCACTGCTAGGATTCTCTCCTGCTTGAAAAAATCAAAATACATGTATCGTCCAGCATCAGGAATGGTTGCTCCTACAGCAGGATCATAAGGTTGCGAGTCATCGCACGGTCCGGAATCATCGCACGGTCCGGAGTCATCGCACGGGGAGGGGTTCGCGAAGGCGAAAAGGTTACACGCAACCTTGCGGTACATCCGTAGTCTCATGTACACGCAGTTAGCAACTTTCTTCTGACATATTTACAGTCTACACCATAAGGAAGACGGGTGGATCGACGCGGGGGTGTATCGGGTAGTAGTGTACCCGGTACAGAGGTGGAGGACGGTATTGATCCGCGCCGCGACTGCCAAAATACATGTACTTGTACTTTGTCGTGTACTGCTGTAATACAACTGCTGTAGACTACAGTCCAAATCGATTTAATGTGTTTGAAGTTGAGGGTTTCGCCTCTTGGGGACTGCTGTGTGTACCACGCTTGTCCTCCGCGTACCTAGAGTGGCGACCCGGGAGCAAGAAGACCTCGGCACCACTTTAAGATCACAAACCCGCGTGTTGGCTTGCCGCGGCGCGAGTCAGACTGGCCAGTAGTGCAAAAGCCAGCACGATATAGCCAGTAGGACAGGTGTGAGGTGTGAGGTGAAGTACAGGATGATTTGTCGTATCCCCCACAGAACCGGTTCTCTTTTTACCCGTTGCGAACCTGGTTTTTCCATCAAATCTATGCTACACATCTAGACATGCTCTGTGCTCTGTGCTTGCGCACAACCGCACGCACAACCCTGGAGCTTCTAGCTCGATGCCTACCAAACTCGAGGATCCTGTGGATGATGAAACGGAGGAAGTCGTTCTCCCCACGGATGGCTTCTCGGTGCGTGCTCGAGCGGCGGTAGATTTAGCCCAACAAAGCGAGAACGCGTTGTCCTTCCTCGACCGAAAAACGGGAAAGTCTACCGACCTGCAGGCCGTACCAGGAACGGCGTGGCCCCGAGATGAAGCCAAGAGGGGTTCCATCTGCCAGATAGTTGTTCGTGATACCGGTTTTAGGCGTGGGATAATTCTTTGGCGCTCGGTGGGGCTGCTTGTGGATGGTATAGGCGACAACAAGGGAGGTGAGAGAGCGATGGTTGATATTTTTTGGCGGAAGTACACCTCCGTTACTGTGGACAAGGAGATGTGCCCGCCGACGATTGGTACGAGCTTTCGTTGTTGCAATTTCGTGTGCTGGGAGGTCAGCTGGCCCTTGTGGTGGCGCCGAAGATTGATGTGAGAAGCAATTGATGGCGGAAAAGGTGCGCGGATGCCTCATCTTCTTTCTGATGTGAACGTACACCGCAAAGCTGTATGAATGTGTTGTAGCGCAATGAAACGGCGTTTCCATTGACTGACTTCAGAACCGCGACAGTTGGCACTCGTTCGGCACCAAAAATCCCTTTGTCGTCGCCAAGAGCAGCGGTTGAGGATGATCTCCCCATCAACATACCATGCAGCCAACCTCTATACACACCATCTCTCTAGACAAACTCTCACAGCAGTGTGAGGTGCTGAACAAGGTTCTTCGTGAGCGCAACCGCCGTGCTGTCAATAACGTTTGATTTGGTAAATTTAGACTCGCCGATCTTTGCAGCCTAACATTCACCTCCGCACCCCGGCTCTAGCGAAGGGTCTGAGCGTACCAACGCGTACGTAGCTATTTCCTAAATCCCTCTGCAGACGTAAAATTTCAGTTTGGGACTCCGAAAGCCGGATGGGTCGTTCTCGAATTTCTGGCCCTTTTGCTTCGATTATCTTGGATTTAGAGCGCCTTTTTCTTCAACCCCTTACCTTGAGTACTCAATGCCTTCTTTGTCACCCTTTCTACAGATTTGTACGTGGTTTCGACACGGGCGGCCTTCTCAGACGCCTTTGCGGCGCAATACGCCACGTGCTTGTTCTACAAGGCCAACGGTTCAGCGGTAAGGATGGACGCGTTCTGATGAGGTTTTATTTCAACGGAGACCTCCTCAGAACATACAGAGCGGATGTACGTTCTTGCACGCAACAGCACCAGTCGCAACACACCCTGTCTCCCCTCTTTTCCAACCACCCACATCCACAGTGCATTCATAGTCGCTACCTGTTGAGACTGTAAGCAAACAAACGGATTTACTTGTAGCACCGTGACTTCTGTTTCGCGTTGTATCATGTCGCTGTCGTACATGTATCCGCCATCCGTCTTTTCAGCCAAATGTGTCTCGTTGTGATACTCCCGCAACCACTCTCCCTCCCGCTGTCTTTCCGCGTCACTCTGTCTCTCTCTCTCTCTCTCTCTGCTCTTTCTCTCTCTCTCTGTCTCTCTGGCTCTCGGTTGTTTTTTGTGTCTGTTCTCTCATGTCATGCGCCAACCAATCTCCTTCGGGGGCGGCATTTTGCATATAGCTCGAGTGGGAGTGCCGTACCGACGCCACAAAGTTTTTCTTCCCTCCGGTTGACTTCAACCCCTGCCCGGTGCCGGCTATGTTGAGCTGCGCCATCCTCGACACAGTAGTGGCCGGAATGTCCCGGTTGCGCCCGGGCTGTCCTTCCACGTCGGCCGTCGGGAACAAGGGTGATGGTGGCGGAACCGATGTGTCAGCCTCGGAAGCGTCACCAGTAGCCGATAGCAACATCGGATCCATAGCAGAGGAGAAGAAGTGCAAGGCACGCGGAAATGCCCCCAAGAAAAACAGCGACATGGGCGAAAAGAAGCCTCCCCGAGACCGGTGGACTGGGTATGAAGCTCAGGCTGCAGCCAAGACGTCGGCGGAAGCGGGCGCCGAGAGACGCGACCTCGGAGGCCATGACCGTGGTAGTTGTCATGACAACAACAGCGTCACCACCACCAACAGCATCGGCAATACCACCCACACCACCCACACCAGCACCAATGCCTCCAACAAGAATGAGAAGGCGGGCCCCACCGGAGAGAACCTCTTGCGACCGTACGTCATCGACTTGAAAGCGGAGGTAGAATATCTTGGCTTGCAGGGGGTTGAAACTTTCGTAGTATGACCAGAAAAGGTTTTCGCTTCAAGCGCGCGTGTATTTAATGTGCCATACTCCATGAGACCCTAAACACATATCTTGTTCCCTGCTTCTCTTGCACTACCACGCTCTGGCCCAAACGACGCGTCTCCCCGGCTGACAACTCGCATATCCGACTCCCATCCCCCTATTACCTCTCTTGTAGCAACATTCACTGGTGCATTTCTTTCTCAAACGTGCCTCGCAGATCAGTCACGCGCATCCACAGATCCTACGCCTTGGCGAGACCATCCACTTGTTCCAGCCGCCTGGCGCTCCTGGGGGCTCCTGGGAAGAGATGGAGGCCGTTGCGTGGCTCATAGAACAAAACCCGGATGGCCAGGTAATCAGCTAGTGCTACGCACTACAGATGGGTGCATTTGTTCAGATGCAGCAAGTCGCGGACAAAGAGCAGGTGGGAGTAGAGGCGGTATGGTCGATTGCTCTCGGCTAATTGCGTCGTAGTGTCGTCTCGGCTCCTCAGTGGAGATGGGATACGGTGGGTGCAAAAAAACATCGACTCGTTTAAGAGTTGAATAATTTTCAGGGTTGAACCCGGAGGCAGGGGCGGGGGGGGCACGGAGGTTCGAAGTTGCGCAAGAGAAGGGGAAGCTACAAAGGAGTTTCACGCTAAACCCCTTTACTGCCGTGGTACGCTGTCGCTATTGCATGATGGGTCTTCAATATCATAGTATAGTCATACGGTGTCGCTCTTCCATCTAAGAAAGCCCACGTGGCTGACGGACGGGTGGAACGACATCCGCGAGCTGTTGAACAGCCGCAAACTGCAGCGCGCGCCAAGAATAGCGAACGAGGTTTTGCAGGAGGGCACTGCGTGTTTGCAAAACAAAGCGTTGCATTCTCCCGGACTTCAACCATGCCTGATGGGGGCCTCACACAAGCAAAAGTGGCTGCTGTAAGTTTATGGGCACAAAACTTGGTTGGGTGAACAGCCAGCATGCCCCCAACCCATCGTGTGTTTAGCCCTCCTCACTGCACGATGAAAACGAAGGTATCCATCAAGTATCGCGTCGACCCGCGGGGAGACCGTGACATGGTGGAGGGCTGCCCCCTCTTGAAAAAGATCGGAGGACGAAAGTACGTCCCCGTCGGCCTACACCTCGGGCGGTACTCCGGTAGGTTCTGTTATTGTTGGCAAACTCTTGGAGGGGTTCGGCGGTACAATCCCGCGTTACCCTTGCGCCCGCCCAAATGC